GTCTGGTTTTGGATCAAATCTGCTTTTTTAAACAGTGTTTTAAAACCAAAGATATGTCCTTCCATACAGTAAACACCATAAAAGACTGGCATCTCTGTTTATCTGTACTCAGCAGGTTGCACTGAATAAACAGGACTCTTCTCATGTTAGAATTCCCATCCTTTCTTGCAAAATATGCTTCAAATAATTGAGTACTCAGTACTCAACTTGTTATAATGGCTTTTGGGGTTTTTTGGGGGTTTTTTTTGGGTTTTTTTTAAGTGAACTGAGCCATTTAATGGAGTTCTAAACCCAGAAACACCACAAAGAGCAACTTACCAGACTTGGCCAGTCCTGGTAACACTTGTCTATACATACTTGCAAGAAGTATTAGTTTTGCCAGCATAGCAGTATCAGTTTTACTTGAAGAAAAGGAGAGAACAACAACAAGTCAGTTTTTTGCCAGTCTAAGTGCCCTTTTTACAAGTAAGAATTATTCCTGTATATGGCACAGCTGACATAATGCAAAACGCCCCAATTCTAATGCAGGACTATGTAATAACAGGAACTATGCAATAATAGGAACTATGGAAACCTCATAGTGCCAGGAACAGCTCCAGATGGAAATAGGTCAGTGTATCTCCTGCTGCAAGGCAGCAACGAAGACTGCTTTTTTATATTACAAAAGCAATTCCTCACTGTTTGATTTGAACTGTGTCTGCTACAGTCCTTGGAGAAACTGAATGAAGACTATTTTGGTAAAAGATTCTCAGACTGTGGAGAACTTGTGGATTTGCTAGTGATACAGGAATTTCATTTCACTCTGATAATGACCTAGTTTATTTAAAACTAGCATTGCCATCTACATCATATAATATATTTGTCCAATTAAGAGCATAATGTGTAAGGTATTATGTCCTTATCTTCTGATGTTACCCTTGTGGTGAAATTAATTATCAGACTATGCTGTCAGTTATTGACAGTACTGCTATTATACATCGCACTGAATTTATTCCTACAATTACTCCATGTGCAACTTTCTTTGGCTGTCTGCTGAATCTTTGCATCTAATTTTACTGCAAATAGCATTTTTTGAGTTAGCAAATTTTAAACAGGACATTATTTGCTTGAACTTAGTTTTGACTTAATGAATAAGTTTCACAAATACTGGTGTGTTTCTTATAATTTCTGCTATGTGTGAGAATGCACATCAGATTACTAGTTGCATTGTTAGCTGGGGACAGGGTACTGAAAATGAATCATCACCTTTTTTTTTTTTTTTAAGTAGAGTGTCTTTTCTGTCTTTGTCTTTTGTCTTTCCTGCCACAGCCATCCAGTATTTTTTAATTTTAAAAATGCAAACAAGACTGCTTCTCCCTTTACCTCTTTTTTCCTCCACAAAAGTCCTCTTTTTTTCCCCCCAAAAAAAAAAAAAAAAAAAACCAAAACCAACAGTGGAAGCTGTTTTCTGTATGTCATCTACAGGGCATTTGTAGGTCAACTGAAATAGATTCTTTATCATGGCTGTTACAGGTATGGGAATGCTGGTGGGAGTGTGAGGGACAGTTCAGATGCTTCATCTCTTGAAAAGCTGTGTCCATCTGACTTTGGCAAGGAGGATAAAATTCAGGCCATGATCTGCTTAGGATCTTTACATTTTTTTACCGTTTCCTGGGGATCCTGAGAAAGATTTATGAAAACTACACCAGACTATAACTGTATTAACTGTACCAGATTCACTAGAACAAGACAGTGCATGTGTTTACCCTCGCAGAATTTTACCTTTCCTAAATGATAATTCCAATCTCATTTTTTTTAAATAAACATTTAAAACATCATTGACCATCCCCAGTTGCAGAGGAAAACTTCAAGATTTATACACTAAATCTCAAAAATAATTACCTCTATTTATTTTAATCTGTCTCTCTCTTCTTTTTTTAAAATGTGAGGTTAGCAGTGCAGCTCTCCATTGACACTCCAGCTACCCTCAGCTGCTTCTTTACCCTTACTACATCAAATGAAACTTTCCAGGCAAGTACTGGGACATAATTTTGCAGTGACACTCAAGCCCTCAGCCCTCAGCCATGCCACATGTTGATCTGGGTATGAAGGTAGGAAATGAACAGGTTTGTCCACATATTTTCTCATTCTGAAAGGAAGGCCCTTCCTGGTGTTTGACATGAACTTCATTAGCATATAGCCTAACTGCAGTGCCAGTTCAACAATTTACATATCCATGGGAAATGTGACATTTTGCTGCAACATGCTTCAGTGTATCTGCTGGCACTTAACCTACTGGATAAAAAGCAAGAAAACTACTGGATAGAAAATAGTATACTGTTTTCCCCTTAGGAAATACAGAGCTTATGGTTCTGTAGATTTTCCCTTTATTGTTTTCTTTAATGTCATAAGCATCCTATCTCTTGAGATAGTGCATGGGACAGGACTGTTTTTACTAGCCTTTGAAAACAGGCAGATTTGCCCAGGCTGTCTTGGTTACACTACGGAATACAGGGGAGTAGCTGGAATTCTGTATTTCTCTAGTGGTCACAGCTGGGAAAAGAACACCTGTAGGCTGCTCAAGCTAGCTACATTAGAAGGATCCTGCTGCTGCGGAAATGTACCACAGAGCTCAGAAACACCAATTGGCTGCCCTAGGAGTGGACAGAGCATGAAAACTGGCACACGTGCGTTTTTCTTCCTCCAATGCTCTCTCTGCCCTAACCATTCCACACAGAAACAATCTTCTTCATCTTAGATACTTTACAGAATAAGCCATCAAATGGTTACACTCATGAACAGGCTTTTGTTTCTTTTTTTTTTTTTTTTTGGTATGGAAAGGTATTTACTTGTTTCCTTATCTTTTTTTTTTCCATGTTTTTTTTCGCCCTCCCATTTTTGTTGCATCTAAGTGGTAGAACCTTTTCACTAGTCATAAATAGTATCAAATATTGTAAAGCAAAATAAATCCAAAAAGTGGTAAATCTGAAACCAAATCTAAGCATTTGATTTCATTATACTAATTTATATTCTGTTAAAAGATTAAACATGCTACTGTGGATCTCAGGGTACAATTTTTTGAAAATTATTTTTAAAATGTATTATCTGCCATAGGAACTGCATAATTTTTACTGTTGTAATAAAAGAAAAGGAATCCTGAAGATTATTCAGTACACACTTATGGTAAGATGGGCATAAGAGATAAAATAGTTTTGATTTCAACAACCAATCCTTTCCTCAAAATTATAACCTAACTTGCAAAGTTGGATTTAACTTTATGGTAAATACTTGATTCTTATATTTGCAGTTCTTGACTAGGAAAGTACAAGTATCTTCAGAACAGAGCAATGGTCCTTCCATCTGCCTGAATAAACAGCAAAAAACCCCCAGCTTTCCATCATAGACAGCCATTTTACAAACTGCATAAAGAAACAGCTACAAAAAGTGGGACTGCTCAGGAAGTGCTAGACCGCAGTGACCCCTTCCATCCTTACCCAGCAGTTCTCTCCTTTCCCTGTTACGTCCTTAACAATTACGTTAACATCTACCATAAAGCATGATGTTGGTGTAAGTACTGTTTGGTCTTGCTGCTTTGTAAACTGCAGAATTGCAAACTTGCTTATTTATACTGGCAGTCCCATAAAGAATATGGTATTCAGAAATATAAGCAAGCTATGAATCTTCATGTATTTTTTACTGCATCCTTGGTTTGGGTTTGTAAGGAAAACCAATGAAAAGTGACCATCAGAGAATCAAAAGTTGACACAAGTTCTACTGTCTTGTTAGACGAACACAGTAGAAAGAAACAAGAAAACATAGTTGATTTTTAAAGTATGTTACATCCTACTCTTTTATGAGTGCCTGGTTTCATACTACAGTTATGACAGAAGAGAGACTTATGATGCGCAGTGTTGAAGAGAGTTGCCCTTTCAGTATTCTACGGTACTGCTTCTGGCTGATCAAAGCTGGCATCACAATCCATTAGACAAGGACACTGTGCAAGTAATGTAACAAAACAGACTACAAAACAGACTTAATGCAATCAGACTTAAATCAAACTGAGAGAGTATGGAATTTGGTTTAAATAATCTTTATTTTAAAACTTTTAAAAAGCAATGCATTTGAACATTTGATTTAAAATTTTAAAATTTCTGCTATATTTTATACTCATAAAATAATAACCTCTGGCAGTCATTAATAAGAGTAAGGAAGCTACTTGTTAGTCAATATGCATGACATAAAGTGCTCTAATAATTCTTTTTATGCTATATAAGCTATTTTCCCCATTAAGTGTGCACATTTTCTCTGCCTATTGTTGACCTGCTGCTAAACATTTTACAAAAGTTTGCTCTGTCTTCAGAATTTGACACTGCAAACAGCCAGTTTAACAAATGAAAGAGCACGGATTATGACAAAAAAATCTCAGCAGTGATGTTAGTATAAACCTCTTCCTTTTGGGTTTGTTTGGAGGGCTTTCTTCACCTTCATTCTCTTTCATCTTACATTCCATCAGAAAAGTCCTCTGCAGAAGAGTTGTTTTTTCTTCCAACCACTGTCAAGTCTTTATTTCTTAAAATATATATTCGGAAGTATATATGAAAAGTAAACTACATTAAAAAAAAAGATGTTACTGGCATATTTTCTCTCTCTAGAAACAACAACATTTCACAATATCTGTACGTTGAATCTTTTTTTACTATGTTTCATAACACATATTATTCATGTTCATTTAGTACTAAGAAAAAATATCAGACTCAGCATTTATATTCCAAAATTAAGATAAAATAGATTTCAGTCACGTTTTACAGGTCATTTACTTAGAAATTGGTCTCAAGAGGTAAAAAATGATTAGTGAACAATAATGATCAAGTGAGGAAAGATACAAGACATATGTGAACGTAAATATCAATATATAAAATATTATTCTGAATAACTATGTATACATACTGGTAATTAATGTTACTGTTTTCCCATACAGTAGCTCATATAGACTGTCCCTTAGTAGCCTATTATTAGGTTAATCAAAGTTTTGTCTTCCCAGATAAGATCATCTCATGTACTTCTTTGGTTAACAAGACATATGCTTTCTTAGAATTATCTAAAAAGTAAAGAGGATCAGTAATTGTAGATGGATTAAAACCTTCATCCACCAGTCGAAATTTTTGTTGTTTGAATGTTCCAGTCATTTCCATTTTTTCCTATAAAAGAGAGAAACATTTATTATTCAATAGAAGAGCTTCGCTTCTTTTGCTCACATTCACATTTGCTTTTGAAAATCTTATATCAAGTAAGGTTAATATTGTTTATTCTCATTACACTGGAAAACTAGAAGTTTTGTGCTGCTATGGACAAACACCTAGAGACATGGTGGAAAAAAGTTACAGCCCATTGCTTTCTGCTTTGCTGTTCAGTCTCTCATCACAGTGTCTCATCTGGTGTGGCCCCAGCCTGCCCGAGACAATCTAGCTTCTTAATTTGTGTGCATTGTAAGACTACACATCATAAAGAATCTGAGAGTAAAAACTGGCATTATCAAGAACTTCTTACTGATAGAACTCAGGAAATTCTCTGTATCTATGATTATTGTTACCTTAAATAAAGGGCTGAAAGAATCACATACTATATCAGCCATACTCATACTCAGCCAGCTCCAAATAAAGGGGGATCTTTACCATACATTTTATGAAGTTTTTAAGCTTCTTTTCAGTGTCACTGTGTCCCTTGGAAAAAGTAATGGCAGGCATCTCTAGTGAGACTCTTTTCTCTGTCCTCCCTACCTCTTTTCAGCCCCACTTTATGACCTCTCTCCACTATCTTCTCTTCTGTCTTTACATTTTTATATATATGCAAACAATCTCCGAAAATGAAGAATTAGGTATTATCTCCAACAACTCAGAGAGCTATTGTATCTACTCCAGATCTACCTTCAGATTGTATCTACCCACTTGGTTGGTCTAAGAAACATTCTGACATCTTCTAAAGTATGATTACATGTCAGATCAAGCTCAATAGGTTTTTAATTTTTCCCTGAAGTTCCACCCACTATGTTCTTTCTTGGTTAATTACAGCAGCACCAACAGCAATTCATCTGTAACGCAGGCATTTAAATTCTAAATGAAGTTCCAGATAACGGATATCTAGTCCAGGATTCTGATTCCTTCTGCCGAGCATAAAGGCTTTTTTGCACATCTGTATAGCAACAAATCTAGACTAGGTTCTCATCATGTTGTAAACTGACTACTGCGACATTCTCAAGTGTAATCTTGCTTGCTTGTATCAGAATGCTGCTGCAAATGGTATCTTCCTGGATGCATGAGACACTTATACATACATATACACATATTTCATTTTCAGGTCCTTCATAGCCTTTTCCTTTTTCCCTTTCTAGTCTGAATCAGTATTCAATCTCTGATTGGCCCAGGGAACCAACTTCCATAACTTGTCTTATCTTTTCAAACAATGATTATTTTTTTCATCTTCTCCTCAGGCTTAGGAGACTTCCTTCATAAACATCTTAAAAAACATTTTTGTTTGCCTTTGTCACGATGCTTTCAAAAAACTTACCAGAAATGAGGATACTCATCAGACTTCACTTATCGTGATGACCAGTATTGTACATTTTCTATATTCTCCTGTATTTTTCTAGCCATTTGTAGTCCCTTGTATTACATTTACATTTTTAACTCCTTGGGGGAGGGATTATTTTTTTTCCCAAATTGGACAGTTACTACAGCAAGTACTAGTACACAGATAGGGATGACTTTGATGACTATGGTGGTGACAATAATAATGTAGATTTTTAATTCACCTTTTCAATTTACCTAGTACCTTTTCAAGTGCTTTAACTTTTGTCATTGTATTACAGAGCAAATAACATTTCATTTATTGTGCACAATCAGTGTCTCCTGCTTTAGCTTTACCTTTCTCTTCTCTCATTTCCACCAAATAAAATGGATTTTAGATTACTTTCTCCAGATGCAATTGTTCACATTTTACTAATCTGAATCTGTTTTCCCATGTTCATGCTTCTAATCTCCCTAAATCCTTCTGTATGATCTCTATCCTTAGTCATTTGTACAATTCCTCCCTTTTTAACATAATCTGCAAATTTTATGGACTTTTTGTGTAATTCCTTTCCCAGGACTCCATTAATGAAGACAGCAAATAGGACCAGTTCTAAATCTAATCAAGTGATATATGAAGAAGCACTTCCTGTTATTCATTTAGCCATCTCTGTATTCAAATGACGTAGATGTTTGTATGCACTGTGCAATAATGCAGCTTACCTGGACTCTTAAAAAAAGAGGACAAGCATAACTTGGTAGATAGGTCACTACTTGCTTATACATTTGCTCCAAGTCTAATGACATATTATTCCTGCTTTTCCTTCATGATCTGGGGGAAAGGAAGTGAGATGAGAATTTTGAAATATGAATAAAGCTGACATTTTAGTGATGAGCCTTACAAAAAAGAACTGTAGTGCATTAATAAACTGACAGTCACATATCACCTTGCGCATTTCAATTAAGCTGGAAGATTACGTTCATATTTTATGTGGTATTGCATATATTTGGAGATCACTCAAGTGAGCAATTAAGCAATAATGCTGTAAACGAGCTTGGCAGGTAAGAGTAAATGGAGTCCCACGCTCAGTATTAATCAATAAATGTGGATAAACATCAACACCATTCCTCTCTCAAAAATAAGAGTGCTGAGCCTCTTTCCTGGATTAGCCAGTTAAGTCTTCTCTTCAGTTCTAGCCTTTCTCTCTTGCCAGTATCTTCTCTCAAAACTGTGGATCTGAATGTTGTTAACAGAGAGATTAGAAGTTCTTACTGGTTTGTCTGGAAAGAGAGAGCACTGTGGGTCTATGGGAAAGATCAAAATGGGTAAAATATAAAAGTGATGTACTTCAGCAATCAGAAATAACTGCACACTTTAACCATCAGCTAGTAATAACAGCAGAGACATTCTGCCAATCTTCTCTTTTGTCTCCTTTCTATATTTTTTTGCTAATGCTACAAAGTCCATGAGGAACTCGATTTGTTTATGTTTAAGTGCAATTACCAAGACAGTCGCATAAACTGGGTAGGAATCTGGAGGTAAATGTATAGGAAATGAGAAGCTCTCATATTTTTGAGTCTGATTTTCAGTCAGTCTTCTTTATTATGATCTTTCTTGTTGTATGGCTTTAAACTACACATAAGTGACACCTTTTTCACTTTAAACTCTTCTGTGATTTTGGTGGGTTCACCCTGGCCAACAACCAAACACCCAGCCAGATTCTCACTCACTCCCTTCTCCTCTGGGATGGGAAGGGAATAGAAGGAAAGCAAGAAGACTCATGTATCAAGATAATGGCAGTTTAATAGGGAAAGCAAAAGCTGCATGCACAAGCAAAGCAAACCAGGACTTCATTCACTATTTCCCATCATCAAGCAGATGTCCAGCTACTTCCTGCAGGGCAGGGCCTCACTCAGCATATGCGGCGGTTGCTTGGGAAGACAAATGCCATAACCACAAACATCTCACCCTCTTCCTTTCCCCAAGCTTTTATTACTGAGCATGGCATCATATGATATGGAATATCCCTTTGGTCAGTTTGGGCCTGCTGTCCCATCTACGTCTGCTCCCAGCTTCTTGCCTGTCCCCAGCATACTCGCTGCAGGGAGAAAGCCTTGATGCTCTGCAAGCTCTGTTCAGTGATAGCCAAGTGTTGTTATCAACACTGTTTCACCCACCAGTGCAAAGCACAGCACCATATGGACTCCTATAAAGAAACTTATCTCTATCCCAGCCATGCCTAGTGCACATTTTAAAAAAAGATTTAGCATGAATGGGAATCAAGCCCAGATGATCTCATGAAAATTAACAAAAAAAAAATTATTAAAAAGAAATTAATGTATTTTCTTTCTTAATAATTTTTTTATTTTTCACCTTGTTTTCTTTTTCACCTTGTTTTTGGTTTTATAATATATTTGTTTTGAAGAGGGTTTACAAGGCTAAGTGAAAAGTGAAGTAAGACAGAATGTCTTCATACAGTTTCCTTTAGAGTTACTTTAATTCTTACCTTGTTGACATTTTATTTTGACACATGGATGTGTGGATTTTCCACAGATATGAATTGAATAAATCTTTAAACTTTAATTTAGATTATGCAGCTATCACAAATTAATGAAAGATAACTTTTCAAAAATACACATCACTCCATACACATAAAAATACATGATTCACTGGCTCACTCACAATCTGGTGGTATATTCATTATCTACATCTACATTTTAGCTAGGTATTAAACAAATGACTCAATCAGAAGTGATTCATATCATTCATCAACATGCAATAAGAGAATTACTAACCTAGGGGAAGAAAAACATACAGCTAAAGCTTCTTTTACCTGGCACAGATACACCATACACATTTGCTTCTTGTATGAAGTCCAACATTACAATGACATCGGAAACTTCCGTAGTTGCAACATTCTCCCCTTTCCATCTAAAATGTGAAAAAAAAATTAATCCCATGAAAACATATGGACATTTCCTCTTCAAAAAACATTAACTTTAGTAGGAACTCCATTCATTTCAGACTAACAACACTTCAAATTTGTTCCCACTTGTCACATATTGATCTGATCACCAAAAGACAACACTTGCAATTCAAATGGTACTGGATATTAGCTGTCACTATAAAGCACAATGAAAGCTTATCATAATCTGATATAATGGTTTTGAAAATTTTCACATGTATCTAAAGGTATCAAATGTGACCAGTCTTTACTATTTGATACATTTTTCTCCAGTATCCAACTTCCTTGATCACAGCAAAACCATCACTAGTTACTATGCTTATTGGAAGGACTGCTCAAAGAGCTGTAATTCCTACAAAACATTCTGGAAATGAGCTATCCAGCACCACAGGAACACTTTTTACAAAATTAAGCCCCTATCATCCACTTCAAGATCATTATAAACTACATCACAATAGTAGTAAACTGAACACTTCTGGTTGAAAACAAATAGAACAATATTATTCTATTCTGCATGTCTATGTTTTTTAATGAAGAAATGTGAAAAGAAACAATGATTATACCTGAAAGTATCTCCAATCCTATCCCAAAAATAGAGAAAATTCTCATTGTCTTGAACCATTAGATCTCCAGTATTAAAATAAACATCTCCCTTCTTAAATACCTCACAGAGTAATTTCTTTTCTGTGTGTCTCTTATTGCCAGCGTAACCAAAGAAGGGGTTCTTCGCATTGACTTTGGAAATGAGAAGACCAGCCTCACCTATACAGAGAAGTTGAAAGAATGTAAACCTAAGGTATCATTGCACATTTCCTGTACTTTACATTAATATTAATTTGGCACATACGATTTTACAAGACCAGGAACCAGGTTTGGAAGGGTTCAGTATGTAAGAACCAATAATAAAAACTTATCTCTTTCTACTGCTTATACAACTCCTGTGGTCACTTCTACAGGCAAAGTGACCATAAAGACACAGTACTATATTGCCCACTCAAATTCCCAGCCTTTTGTATTTCTTCCTGATGACTTCTCAAACAGTTTTCTCCCAGAAATGTCATCTATCAATTGTGAGTTCACTAGTAGGTTTAATATCCTCTCAAAGTGCACACTTCAAGTGAATATTATGTCCCACTCCCCACACCTTACTGAACTTCACCACCTTCCTACTGAAAAACTAGTGTTAATAAAAAGCAGGTGTTCAACCCAGGCATTAAATCCCTATTTAGTCTCCTTTCAGAAGTTCTGAGAACACTTCTTAAGAATTTTCATTAATGTGATATAACCTCATTGCTTTCTTTCTGTAGTAAAATGAGAAAGTTTTAATATAATCTTTTTTCTTAAAAAATAGGGAGAGATGAGGATAGGATTATCTTGTTATGCATGTAGAGTATCAGGGTGTTAGTTTGCTGAAAGTGGAATAGTTGTATGAAATCCTAACCTTTTTGGAAGCACATTCTGAACAGTAAAGCTTAAAAGTGACATTACTTTGTATCGGAGACAAGAATTATAAATATGAAAATATATAAAAAAAGAAGTGTGTCCAAAAGTACGCACAATTTTTAATTTAAGACCTCCTCCTCATAAAAGAGCTGTGCCTTTTTGCCATAAATTGGTAGTGTTTAAGGTGATTGTTTTCCTGAAAAAGTGCCCATCTTTGATTAAGACCTGTTAGAGAATGTCTTTACTCCTTTGAAAAATCTGCTTCAGCTCCCTGTTAAAGCTGTCTGCCTGACCTTTAATATGAGTTTTTCTTGCTTCAGCTTCCAGGCATTAATTACAGCTGTTACCTTCCTACAGTACAACAGAGATGCTTCAGTATCTGATAAACACTTAGAAAATAGGTATAATCAAGAGATACCAGATATTTGATAAGTATTTTGAAGACAGCTATAATCAAGCAACCTCTTTAAAAAAAAAAAAAAAAACAAAAAAAAACAAAAAAAAACAACCTGATAACCTTAATCAACTCACTTAGTCAGGAACACTTAATCTCTCACCAAAAAGCATCTGCTCTAATCCACCAGTCTTTCTTGTAGATCTCTTAGGCAACCATCTCACTATGTTAACCTCCTTTAAAAACCACAGATGTCACTATCTACATATTCAGAGACAACATCACATCATCACTTTTGAATATTGCTCTTCTGTGAATATATTCAAGGATGTCCTAAGTTCTTCTGGTGTCAGCACTGGTATGTTTAATAATGTTCTGTCTTAGATCAAAAATCATATTGCTTTTGTCAGAGCAAAGAGTAATAGCTGATGCTGGCATAGTACAGTAACACAAAAGCAAGACTCCTTATAAAAATTCTCCGGAGTATTTGTATTACAATCAAAACGCTATTATAACCTATTAAAATACATACTTACCTTTCTTAACTTTTTCACACCAACCATGCTTATTTCTAATTGGTTCATCTTTTTGGAAATCATACTTGATTAAATCAAATGGGAAAAAAAGCTAAAAAAGGGAAAAAGGGTCATCAGTTATTCATCTACACAGTGACATCTGGTGGCAGCAAATACAAGCAAGAAAACCTTTACTTCAGTCTTGCTCATCTAAGAGTAGAATGTAGTTTCATTTAAAACTGAAAATACTCTGTATGTAAACTTACACCATTTCCTGGAGGTAAGCAACATCAAACCATTTTTATAACCTTGTAACTTTCAAAAATACTTGGTGAAGACACAGAACCGTAATTTTGTTAATTTTCTTACAAAAAAGTTATGGGATCCACATATCAGTGGAAGAGCCTACATGATTCAGGATAACAGAAGCATATCTGGAATTTAACTGGTGGTGGCTGATATGAAAAGTGTTCTTGGTGTCTTCTGGCACCTAAAACAACTGGCAAAGCAAAAGCCTAAATCTCCTTACAAAGGGAAACCTGCTTCCTGTTGGGCTTTACTCTTGCTTAACTAGACTCCATTCTTCCCTCAAGCTTTCTCAGGCTGGTGTATGGTGGAAGGTCTTATCACAAGCACCAGCAGAAGAATATGTGCTCCCATGTCATTTGACATGGCTATGTAGCTGTGCATGTTCCACAGTTATGTCAGGGTTAGTTCTGCATTTTACTGAAATACTGTGAACTCTTGAGTCCTGACACTGCTGACCTAACTGACGTCCTAGTTATGTTTTACAACTAACCTTCCTTTTGTACAAGGATCACAGAGAATGGGGCTCTGAGTAAGATGAAGGAGAGGGCAAGATATTCTTATCAACACTAGAAATTGCAATACTTTTTTTCTCTAATATATAGGGTCTGACTTGTATTTTGCTTCATTTTTCTACTGTGATATAAATTCAACTTAGACCTTTGAGAGACATTGACAGATATCACATGCCTGATACTATATGGATCAGTGTTTGCAGTTATTATCCTAAGGCTTCAGTTTGCCCCGCTTGGGATTCTGATTTCCCTTTTCATAGGGAAGTATATCAGCATTCTATTTAACAACTAGTCAAACCAAGGATATACAATTTTCTTCTCCTGGAGAAGTCCTGGCAAGCAGAGAAAACAATTTAAAAAACTTAGGAATATATACCTGCAGTCTTCACAGTACGGAACTGCAATATAATTTAAGGATAATGTTATGAAAGTGCCTGAAGTAAAGGGTAAGATGCTAAAACATAAACGCGTTGCTTTTCTGCAACTAATTTGGATGAAGAGTTGCATAATTATTTTATTCTAATTTGAAATGTTGCTGTAACTATATCACATGATTTTGTTTTCAGGAAAGTCTGAATAAATAGCAACTTGATTCAAATATCAAGCACACAATTTCAGCCTCATATGGACAAACTTATTTCACTCAGTCTTTTCAATGTTCACCACTCTGTTTTCCTTATACCCAAAGACTGAAACAAAAAGATATTTTTAACAGTTGATGAAAGCAACAAGGTCATGGCGTGCAAAATCAAGTCATGTTCCAAGAATTAGACACTTTTTGAATAAAGTGAAGGGTATTTTTTAGTAATAACTACAGACTATAGCATTTACCAAAGTCAAGAATTTGAGAGCCAAAAAGTTCACATTAATTAGAAAATAACTGCATTATTCTTGGTGAACAGAATGGGAGGTATTCATAATAAATACAAGTCATTTTTTCTTAGAGTCTTTTCTTTCGGCTGTCTACATTTAATTGCCATTCTTTTTCACTTTCTTTTTTTACCTTGATATTTACTACTTTAATACATTTCATATGACAGACCAAATGCAATGAATAATATAAAGAATGAAATGGTATAAAATGAAAAGTTATTCTGATATTTTTGTGTTTGATTAGAAACGCAGTGTGCCCTGTTCAGTTCCATCTTTACCTGTTCGTTCCTTCAGAGCTCAATAGCTGTATCTTGTCAACATAGTAGTCTATATGATGCATTATTTTAAGTTGTTATAAATACTAGGAAACTTTAATTTAGTATCTGAGATCATCTAAAAACTGTTGAGACTTTTATTATTTATGTTGCTGTATACATCTTTCAGTGCCTGCAGCTTCAGAGTATTAACTATGCCTATTCCAGTTAGCTCTTTGAAATAATAGTCATGCAAACACAGAATTAAAAGGAGAAAACACCACATATTGCATTAGACATGCATAATGAAACTATGCCAATATATATTCTGTGCAAACAGCTGTCTCTGTGCAAACAGCTTTCTTTTCATATTAAATACTAGAAAATGAAAGCTCCAGAGCAAAGCATTTAGTCTGGGTACAGGCCTACATGTGTTTTCTCTCATTATTTAAAATTTATTGGACAGGAGGGCCTGAGCTGTTGAAGCATTACCATATTACTTTCAGAGTACTGCATGCAGCATTCATAATTTTAATTTACATTTTACTCCCTAAAGCACCACATAAACATACCAAACAAAAAGCATAATTTATCTAGCTGAAGCTTAAAATGAGTTAAACTGCAACATTATTGTCTGTTACTATGCTGCCTGAATGTTATCTAATAACAGGGTCCTTCCCCCCTCCTTTTTTTTTTTTAATTGACTGGAAATAAGTAAGTTTAAATATTGTTTTGAAAATAGTTTTGAAATTCCTAAAGTTTCAACTTATAGTGAATGCTCACAGAACCTTCATCAGAGAACAAAGATCACAAGCTATTGCTTTTTAATTAGTTATTTGTTTTACAGTTGAGATATTATTGAATTCTCTAGAACATCTGTTTATAAAACAAAGCTTTACATTTACTAAATTTAGTTCCAAGCATATTAAAAAAGTGAAATGTAAGAAAAAAAAATAGTATCATCATATCTTATAAATGTTTTAAAAATACACTTGTAATGCCTTATTTATGCTGTAAAGAGTAGATGTACAGGTCCTCTGCATAGTTTTGTTAGCCAAAGGAAACAAAATCAAGAAAAAAACTTTTAAAGCTATGCTTGATATTAACTGAATCACCACATACTGTAATAAAATACCTTGGAATACACTTGAAGTACCTTAGGTTATTTTAGCTCAGAACTAGTCAAAAGAGCAGAAACAATACTAATTTTCATTGGCCCATGAACTTAAGAGCTTCCATTGCTTGGACTAACACATGACAATGTTCTTCCTGTGAATCCAGTTTTCCAGGGTATTAAGATTTACTGAAACCTAACTTTGTTTACTGTTAAACTAAAAAGTATCTCATCTGCCACTTGTTATATGACTGTATGAAAAAAGTGCATAATACTAAGTCTGCATTGCTGTGTGAAAGACAAAATATTCTGTATGTTGAAATGGATTATGATTTGTTATAAGATTTAAATGTTTCTCAGCTCAAAGCTGATTTTTATTCATACAGTTTTGAGTAAAAGAGATTTAGATTCCTGTAACAGTGAGAATACTTATGCTTAAAATAATGAAAAAATACATTTATAAATAAAGTTTGGAATATTTTTTTTACATGCTGTTTTTTTCAGGTGTACTTGCCATGGGTTATTTTTAGCCTTTCTTACAAGCTTCCTTGGATCTTGTTAGTCCCACTCTTCCATTGCATGTTCTCTGCCATCACTCAGAATTTATTTCAGTGTAAGAAAGAGATTTTTATATATATTTGATAGACATGACTTAGAGTCTTACAGATTTTTCCCATATCACATTTAAGTACACACATAATGTATGTCATATATAATAAAATTAATCATTAATATTAACTACATACATATGTATGCCAGATGTAAGTATTAAACAGTAATTTATTATATTACTATGTTAATCTAGACGCTATCTTCTTTGTAAAATATTTTAAGCTTTACCAGCTAAAAAGCTATTCAGAAGCTTCTACTTTTCTGTTCATTGACTCTATAAGAACATCCTTATTGAAGGATTTATTCATATACCACAGCGATGCTTTCAAGCACATGAATCCCTCTTATATACAGAGTATAGTGTAAAAATAAACAAGTGCAAACACAAGCATTGCTTCAAGTTAACATCTCACACACAGTGGCTTCTTGGATCTCTGGCAACTGCTATAACATTAATCTGTTTCTTTATATTAACATGTGTCTTCCAAATTATTTATGAAAACAAATGTGTTATGTGGAACCTTAATATTTATCACAAGTGTTTGTTCCCAACCATTGGCAGTTACTGACAGAAAAGTTACTTTGCTCATTCTGAGAGCTCAATTTGTCTTTTAAAGCTGTAACTTTTGTCTGCATTTCACCTTTAGAAACTGTGCCATTGCCATTACCTACAACAGAAATGCCTTCCTATTTCTCTTCCTTTTTCTCTGCTAAAAATATTATACTTTGAACCTACCTGCTATTATTTATTATTCTCACTATATTCCCTGGGTTTTTATACTGCATTTAATTCATTCTGACTGTGCAATTATGCCAGTAGAAAGAGAGTGAGTTTCTTCCTTCTCCTTTACTGTATCACATATATGAACACACAAGGCTCTTTCCCCCTTTCTTAGATCTCTTTCTTTCTGTTCCCAGTTTAGGAAATAGCTGTTTAGGAAACCCTAGAGAGTATGTCTAAGGGTATCTCCTCATATCATCCCATGTGTCAAGAGAATAATGTTTCAAAAGTTGTTGTAGCATTTCTTTGAAGAAACAAAAAAAATTAGGAATTGGTTGGCTGGGCCTTGCCTGTGCCATTCTCTGCTTTCCAACAGGAGACAGTCTCCCTTTCCAACTTCAGATCATTCATGGGTCAGCAAATCAGAAATAAAGCCCTCTCCTTCACATATTGCTAGATGTCCAGTGAATGTCATTCAGACTGAAGTAAAACAAACACAACAGCTACACTTCAGAATGCATTGTTTATTAATCTGTAACCTGTAAAATGTATTTAAAAAAAACACAACAAATGCCTGAAATAAGTCAAAATGAACTTGTCTATGGCATTAAAATACATAGTTAGTTTGCGTCAAAATACTCACAGATTGCGGAGTAATCAAAAACACATATAACAGGTCCCTGAATTGAAGCATTTGTTTTAATATGTACTTTAAAAAAAAAAAAAAAGAAAATCACTAAAAAGTATGTCTCATGATATTTTCAACATTCCGTCTCTCCCTTAACCTCTTTTAGACTTTTCTGAAACTACACTATATCTAAGCCCTTGTTCATGTCAACACTACTCTGCTTCAGCATATGAGGGAGCTAGCTGCTCCTGCAAACAAGTGTCATGAAGCAGACTGAAAGAACTGCCATCCAGAGGAACTGCATGGGTGACAGAAGCAGAGCCCCAGTAGTTAACAGATTGCAGAACTGTTAATTTGAGACATGTAACTATTGTAATATTAATATGCCATGTTGTTACGCTGACACACATTATTTCACAGAGAGAGACCGTGTATGTCGCACAACCATAAATGCTCTGGATCAAAACATATTACTTATGAAAAAGCTCCTCATGGAGCTTTGGAGTGGTCTCCAAAACCTCCTTGATTTGGAAGAGATTTGGGGCAGTTCTGTTTCCACATAAAAAGGGTCATATAATCCATCCACTGACCTGGCTAGACATACCATGCCCATGTAACCAAAGCAAGGCAGTTTGTCTCTGCACTGAATCTGGTTTTCAGTGACAACCTTCATTCTTCCCTCAAACTCTACAGTCACAGAATGCCAAATGTATATACCCTGGGGGAAGGGTTGGGAGCCAATACTACCTCAGGTCCCTTGGAGAATGGTAGTAGCTATTAGCTACTTTGCTTATGACAGAAACTATGGAAATAACTGAAGACTTACTGTAGATTTACTTCTAGGGAAAAGAGAGTATTGAAAAAGACAGAATAAAACTGATTTCAAGCCAAGCCAAATGGAATGAATGGCTTTTTCCGGTTCATAAAATATCTTATGGTCTTTCCGTATTCATACTGAGTAAGCAAGAGGACATAATTATCTTAGCAGACTATACTGATGTTTCCATAGACTATAAGTGTTCCAACTTGGAATAGTATATAAATTATAGAAAAGATGTCTAGGGAGATCAAGTATTCAGTTATAACCGCATTTATTTTTTAACTGCAGTTTGCATGAACTATTCTTTCTCTTAATCTGCAGTGACTAACTCAAATCATAAGTCTAATCATTAAAGAGGAGAAAGTAGCATGTTTCATGTGCAAAAAACCCTAAAATACTAATCTTCCTTTTGGAAACACAAACAGCATGTGTCATTGGCACATGAAGTGCCACTATTAATACATGCAAAACCCTCACACTACTTTATTAAAAATACAGATAATTAGAACAATAAATAGGTAATTTCAAGTCTAATCCTTTATCTGCTGTAACCTTTACATGGTATTTCCAAACAGTTAATGACTTATGACAAAACTCCGTCAAAAGTTCTGAAATACTGAAAACAAGTTTACTCAAGTCTGGAACAAATGTAAAATTTCATACGATTAAAAAAAAAAAAAAAAAAGGTTTAAAATAATTAAAGCATGTGGCTTAGAAAAGTCTGAAACAAAAATCAACATCAGTGCTAAGGCTCCTGATTCAGCTACTACTCCCTAAATTCCAGATTCCTTATTTCCTGTAGTGGATCTGTACCCTTCCAGAGACATCCATCAGCACCAGATGTCCGCCGTGCATACTACAGGGCATCAGTTAGGTAGAACAGAGAATCAGCAGACTCGATCTGCTTAAATTCCTGAACTCTCAATAGTTTCTGAAAAACACACTAGCTCTTGTGGTGTTTTTCTGAGTGTTTCCATGTTCCTTCCTGCAGTCTGGGTTCCTATCCCAGAAGTGAAGAATTCCTCTGGCCCCGAGTTGTAAAGTAGTCTGTGGTGATTGTAATGTGGTTATGCTGTACTGAAGTTGTTGACCGTGGAACATATGCTGCCTAGAAACCCATTTGCACGTCATCAGAGGATACCTCTGATCTATTTCCAAACAATATTTTTACATCATCCTCTGAAAAAAAGTTCTGTCAGGACATTTTACTATCAGTTCTCCTCAGGAGCACAAATGCCACTTAAGTCAGCAGGATTTGTATATATAGATAGGTATCTTAGCATAGATAGGTATCTCAGTTAATTTGCAAATTCTAGGCAATGTGTGTAGTCCTATTTATTTCACGAAGAGTAAAAAGCGGCATAAATAACAACATAATGTTAAATATGTAGTCTCCTTGCTATAAAGCCTTGCTAAATAATCTTCCATGTTATTAGCTAAAGCTTGGGACACATGTTACTTACTGACTTCTCAAACCATTTAAGAGATGGTACTAATAGGACTCAAAGGGAAAAAATCTACCTGTGAATTTCAAACTGAAATAAATTCTTCTTCATTTACTCAGGAGGATGAAGGAAAAACCACCATGTGTGATATAAATAATATGTAATCCTCTTTCCCAAGACATATAACTTCCATTGTCAAAGCTGATTAAATACAAAACAGAGACTATCGAATAAGCAGTGAGGAAATGTATGGTTTTTTCTAGTTTTAGTAACCTAGAACAAACCAAATAAATATAGCAGACTTCATAGACAAAGAGGCATAGAATTTTTAACTTAATACCCTTGGCAAGTATTGTCTGTCACAGTTACCCAACAGTGTTTATATTTGCATTGTGTTATCTTTGAAATTTCTGAATAACGATACAGACTAGATGTAGAGTAGTTTAATTGAGTTACTTATGTTTAATTGCATCTAGGTATAAAATATCTCTTAAAGTTATACTGCCTATATGTTAATTTATTTTAATTACTACTAATTCCCATTTATGCCAAATATTTACATAGTAATATGCAATATAAATATACTCTTTGAAAACAGCTCTAAATATAAACTGTAGAACACTAAGTCAGAACAGGACACTTGTATGTTTATTTCACAGATGATTAAAACAAATCCAATTTCTTTTGTCCCTTAATATAGTAGAGATTTGAAATGATACTTCGAACCTACTCAAGACTGTCAGAAGAGAGGCAAGGCCTTTTTGACTCTTGTGAACTTTAAGAAAAATCTAAGTGTTACTGCTGAAAGTATAACTGGGTTGGATGCTAAGCACTATCTGCAATACTTTGGCAGCCAAGATTTTATAGAGGGTCAGTTAAACTTGCAATAACTAAGTTAGAAAATTTACCTTGGACTTCTGACTGCAGCCCCATGTCCTGTGGTCAAACTGAGAAACACGTTTACCTTCAGCACTCCCTGTTACAAAGTACAATGTAAATAAATAGTCACCTTATAAAAGAAATTGGTGCGTCCAACAGATCCGATTTTTCCTGTGTGGTTCATGAAACAAATGTTTCCTTCAGTAGCACCATAAAACTCACAGATCTTAACACCACCAAATCTGTCTAAAAATTCTCTCCATACATCATTCCTCACTCCATTTCCAACTGCTAGTCGGACTTTGTGATTTTTTTCTCCTTCTTTCTGTTAAGAAAATGTACCTTCTTTAAATACATCAAGTATAAATAATAACAAAAAAAAGAAAAACAGCAATTAAGTAGTTAAAGCTGGCATAGCTTGCGTACAGCTACAATGTAGCAAACTGCAATCAAAAACCTACTACCTTGTTGAACAAGCAAATGATTTCCTGACTGATGGCTACACTGATTTATAGAAATGCTTCCATATTTTAAAAGTTGTATCACCTCAGTCTGTTTGTACTCAGAGGAATTAAAAAACCGTGAAGAACAGAGAAAGGCAGGATTTTTTTCTGTCAAGGGATTAAAGTCAGCAAAGATTAATAGTTACTTTCTTGTGTCTTCAGACCGATTAAAAGAAACAATCAGATTTCACACACTTGTAATATCTGTTCCTTCCCACACATTGCGTATGAGTCATCTTCAGTATTTCTTTCAATATTAAGACTTGCAAGGTTTTGTTCAATGTTACTTGGAACACATTATTTCTTGCTGATCTTGAGTCTTTATTGTTGTCAACTCCCTTGTTTTATTACATGAAACACAACAGTATGTGTTCATCCAGTTCAGCGAGATCTCTAATTTTATGGATACATTCCCAAACCTTGCGATTGCACAGAACACCTTTAAAATACAATTAGATTTAAGTTCAGGTATCAGAAGGCAAAAGTTCTAAAATGTTGTTTTGTTTTGTTTTTTTTAATTTCCCCTATTTTAAAATAAGACTCCCTTTTTAATCACTGCAAGTGGCAATACAGAATGCCCTAGAAGCGAGACAGCACAAAATAAATATAGGTACAGTTTGTTACCACATACCTTTAGAACTGCATAGCACTCTGGTACTGCGACACTGTCTGTATATGTCTCTCTATATATACACTTCTACAGATGTATACAAACACCTCTCTATACACATATGCACATATATGCAGATATTCACACTCTTTATATATGTGTGTGTGTGTGTATATATATACACACACATGTCCACATACATATACTAAAGAAAGCAGACAGTCCCTATTTTCTGTTCCTCTATTCTGGTTTGCTTTTCCCCTCCCAACTCTAATCCAGTAAGAATTAGGTATGTCTTTATAGTGAAAATCCATTTCAGCACCTTTCATCTGGCCTAAAAGCATAGCAAATTATTTCTGCGAAGAGATCTGGTCAGCTGACTGGAACGGGAGTCTTTAAATATTTTCGATGTTAAAAACAGTGAAGCTTTTACTGAGTACATAGACAGCAGTGTTCCTCAGAGGCTTATGTCTTGGCCAAATTCAATGTTTCATGAGGAACGTGAATTCTCACTTCTGTAACAAAAACTGTATGCACAGTGAAATTTAAGTTTCTCCTGTAAATGACAAAGACCAACCAAGTTTTTTTCTTCCCTCTTCAAAACCAGTAACTTATAGAAAGATAAAAACTTCCTTTATTGAGCTTCAGAGTCTTTCCTCTGGAAATGAAGTCCTCTTGCTGGAATGATTCAGTAAGGAACTCACCTATTTTGCTAGATGCAGATAAGTCTTGGCAGATTACAATCTGATGTATTATCCTGCTATTTTACCTCAAAACTACATCAATCACCAGCCTCCCTCAGTCCCTAACCATTCAGTTTTTACAACAACGCAATTCTTCCCTTTTCCCTTCTCCTCTCCTACCTTACTTTAGATGCAAAAGTCATTTCTAAACACGCAAGCACATACTTCACTGACTTCATGCTAAATCCTTATTAACAAGTGCTGCATTACGTAGGTACAATGAAACTGACCATGGACATAGCCTGGAACAGTGTCTAAAAATTGCCCATAGACGTAATTTTTTGAGTGGTTTGTTTTTTCAACTTCCGATGCAATACCTTGTTATTCATGTAGCTATTCATATAAGCAACAGTGTAGATTTTCATATATCTGAAATAATAAGGTCTGTTATATTACACATTCCAAATCATTATGCATGTCAATGAACAACAGAAGTATTCCTTTTTCTAAGAGCAAGTGCTTCAGTGCTACTTTGAACTTTGTCAGGAAAGCTTTTAACTCTTCCCCCCCCAAGAAAATTGTCCACCATCTTTAGAATATTCCAGTCAGCTCAACTTAAAACTTCTGGGTTATTTTCCTTACAGTTTCATTGCTAAACTGAAATTAACCTGTCAGTAACTGAACTGCAGTTACCTCTTGCTGACCCCACTGAATTATTCACATGTACTGCCTCTGCTAAGATATGAAAAATAGCACAAGAGATTCTTTCACAGAAATCCTTTGTTCCATAATGAACAGAAGAGACAAATATGTGCATATATATACACACACTAATTAAGTGGGTCATTCATCAGGCTAGGAACATTCAAAATCTCTAGAGACTAAGTTAATAAACAGGTGAGTTTGCTTCTATTATTTATACTTTAAGAAAAATAAAAGCATTGATGGCTGTTTGCAGAAAAGACACAAACTAGGATGAAATAGAAAACAATGGCCTACATAGATAATGGTTTTTTTTTTTTTCCAAAAGGACAAGTACAGCATCATTTATAATTGCAGTTACTTCAATACCTTCAATTCCTCATGTTAATTTGGCTGGTTTACATTACTACAGCATAAAGTTGTTTCTCTAGTGGAAAAGACACAGAGTAAACCTAACAGGTCAGCATTCTACTGTGCTTGCAATGTTAACACCTACCAAAAATACAATGTATAACTATGTCATTTTAGGAAATATTCTCTCAAGGCATTCAGCCCTTTTGCAAAAATACAAAGAACTTGTGTGATGTCATCAAGAACTGATTGCAGAAAGCAAATTTTCTTAAAACAGAGGGCAGTAATTCACTTCTGCACAACTACAGTAAATTTACTATTAGACTGCATTGTTGCAACTGCTGTATTTGTGATTTAGTCAGCTCCATCGCAGTTATATCTATGTGTTGATACAAGACTCCCTGAAGAGTACTGCAGGGCTTTCTGGGGAAAAGGCATTGAGACTGTCATGCATTCAGCAGTCTTTCAACTGTAAGAATGGAAACTACATGTAATTTAATCTCCCAGCAGGTTTAATAAGTATGAAGAGAACGACTATAATGAGGGAAACTTTAAACAGTGATAATTCATATTATGAATTTACATGAGTTTTACATGTGAGTAAATTCATATAGCTATTTTTTGCCTATTTTTATCTGAACGTTTGTATAACTAATATATGACATTAATTCATGTTAGCTTTACATGTAACTAACTTTCAATGGAAAGTGAACCACAGTAATTTAAACAGAGTTAGCCATTTCAACATCGTTTTCATGACTCGTTCTATATATTCATCATCTGTATTATTGTCCAGATCATTGCCAGAGTCCAAATCCAGGGCAGGCATGTTGGTATCCATGGGCACTGTGGCCAAAAACTTATGCAATAAATAAGAGAAGGGAAGGAAAAGGGATGATAATTCCAACAAATTCCATAAACATGGCTGAGTGATGCACACTTACGTCCTAATGTATGAAAATCAAAATAAATTAAATATGTGGGAACTTATGCTTTAAACAGACTATGGCAACAAACAGTCATGCTTTGAATTTCTGCCATATTCAGATGGCATTTCATCAACTAACTTCCCTTCGGTACCGTAAACAGAATTATAGGAGTAGGAGGAATTCCAGGTCACCCAGTACATGTCTCTTCTGGGAAATAAGCTCTGCTATCCCTGTGCCATTCTTGACACCTGAACAAGCTGTGGCAAGTCAGCCAGTTACTGTGCAACAGTTGGTATGCAGCAATTGTATAAATGCATATTCTTATCCTGCCGCAACAGCATACCTAGTTAACACTTCCTTCACTAAAAGCTGTATTTCCCCACGATATCTCATTTACAAAGGACTCAGTGCCTTGCCCTGGTCAACTATCACAAATAAGTTCAAATAATGTGTGTCCTGTGATAATTACCTCATGCTTTGTGTTTCTGAATGTGATTAATAGTTCTCTACAGATTATTAGGAAGACAGATTCTAGAGTAACAGAATGTTAGAACATCTTTCCAAGGTATTAAAAAATGTCTGTTTATTTCTTTTCCTGCACTGTGATTTTCTTTTCTTACAGAGTAATTCTGAAGTAAAATGGGAATTCAGTCTTCCCAGTTATTTCTAACAGTAAAAGTGAAACATATTTTTCTATGCCTTTTCGAAGCATTAATAAGCAAGAACTGTTCATACCTTACACCTGGACTTTTCTTCAGTTCATTCTGCTAAAATCTTTGAACCGTATACCAAATATCTGCATACATCATAAATCAATTTCTGACACACTATTTCTCACTTTTGAGTGCTTGTTTCATTTGTATAGTAATTAATTGACAAGTCAAGATCTTCCTTATTACACTAAATACCACATACCTGGGATTTTTCATCTGCCAGTCTTTCCTCCTTAAGTGTTCTTTGTAAACTATGTAGACTATCTACATGATTAAGTTGTTGATAAAACAAATACCTTTTAAAGTGCCATCAACAGTTATATTAAATGGTGTGGGAAGGATTCATGACTGCAGTTATATAAAAATGTACTTAGCAGTTGCTTTAAAAGAATACAAGAAAACAGGTTCATTGTCCTACTTTTACCATTTCTGCAGCAGGAAAAGCCAAATGGAGAGAAGCAAAGGCAACTTCAAGCAAAGAAGGCATGTTTCCTGTATTATGCCCTTAATGAAACTAAAAGCAATCTCAGGGCCTGAGAATGCAATCAACTGTTAAATATAAAATATGATGGACATAGCATACAGGATTTACATTCATGTATTTACAAGGAATATGTGTAACAACACATTCACCAGTTCTGTATTGACACATTAGCCCTGAAAAAAGGGGCATCAGGTAGTTAGTAGAGAGACTGTAAGATGAGAGATATCCTACTGCCATTATGATGACAGATGTAATAAATTCTTCAAGATGCATGCTTACCTTCACTTTTCAGTAATGCCTAATTATAAACGGCAACTAGATTTTTTGAGCAAAATACATACCCAAATGTA